ATTTCATTTAGAGTCTCTGTTTCCTTGCTAATTTTTTGTCTAGAGGATCTATCCAGTGATGTCAGTGGGGTGTTGAAGTCCCCTGCTATGATTGTATTGGTATCGATTTCTCCTTTGAAGTCCTCCAGAAGATTTTTAATATATTTTCGTGCTCCTATATTGAGTGCATATATGTTTATCAAGGTTATATCTTCCTGTTGGAGAGATCCTTTCAATATTATGTAATGGCCTTCTTTGTCTCTAGTTATGGCCTTCATTTTGAAGTTTCTTTTATCAGATATGAGTATTGCTACCCCAGCTTTTTTTTCCTTTCTGTTTGCTTGGAAGATTTTTTTTCCATCTCTTCACTTTCAATCTATGTGAGTCTTTTGTTGTAAGGTGGGTCTCTTGTAAACAACATATAGATGAGTCATGCTTTCTTATCCAATCAGCTACTCTGTGTCTTTTTATGGGAGCATTCAATCCATTTACATTAAAGGTGATTATTGATATGTACTTATTTATTGCCATTTTTGTTTAGTGTGGTTCTATTTTTCTTCCCATTTCTCCTGCTAATTACAGCAGTCCTTTTAACATTTCTTGCAGTGCTGGTTTGGTGCTAATGTATTCCCTTAGCCTTTTTTTTTGTCTGTGAAGCTCTTTATTTGTCCTTCTATTTTGAATGATAGCCTTGTTGGGTAGAGCAGTCTGTGATTCAGATCCTTGTTTTTCATGACCTTGATTACTTCATGCCATTCCCTCTGGCCTGTAGTGTTTCTTGTGAGAAGTCAGCTGAGAGCCTTGTGGGGTTTCCTTTGTAGGTAACCTGTTGCTTATCTCTTGCTGCTTTTAGGATTCTCTCTTTGTCTTTAATTTTTGGCACTTTGATTACTATGTGTCTTGGTGTGGGCCTGTTTGGGTTCTTCTTACTTGGGGCTCTCTGTGCTTCTTGAACTTGAATGCCTTCTTCCCTCACCAAATTAGGAAAGTTTTCTGTCACTATTTCTTTGAATATATTCTCTAACCCTTGCTCATTTTCTACTTCTTCAGGGACTCCTATGATGCGAATATTATTATGTTTCCAGTTGTCCCACAGTCTCTTAAGCTCTCTTCCTTTTTTTAATCATTTTTTCCTTTTGGTTTTTTTTTTTTTTTTTTTTTTTTTTTTTTTTTTATTATACTCACCCGAGGACATTTTCCCATTTTTTTTTTTTTTGTTGTTGTTCAGGTAGAGTGGGAGGGAGAGAAGGGAACAGAGAGAGAGAGAGAGAAACATTGACGTGAAAGGAACACATCGAGTGGCTGCCACCCGCACGACCGACCAGGGCCGGGGACAAACTGCAACCGAGGTACGTGCCCTTAGCGGGAACCAAACCCGGGTCTCTCAGGACCACAGGCCGACGCTCTAACCGCTGAGCCAAACCAGCCAGGGCTCCTTTTGATTTTCTGATTGATTGATTTTTTCTACCCTGTCTCCTAATTCACTGATCCGGTTCTCAGCTTCTTCTACTCTGCTTTTTAGACCTTCCAATGTGTTTTTCATTTCTGATATGTCGTTTTTAATTTCCATCTGGTTGATTTTCAACATTTCTATGTCTTTACTCATGGTGCTCATGTCCTTACACATGTTGTTGAGCTTCCTCAAGATCATGGCTCTGAATTCTAGTTCTGTTAACTTGCTTAACTGCACCTCATTTATCTCATCTTCCGTAGAGGTCTCTTGTTCTTTCATTTGGTTTTTGTTTCTGTTTTTCACCATTTTGGCTATCACAGTGGGCTTTGGAGTCTGCCAAATTTTCCCTGTGGGTGTTGGTGTTCTGATGTTTGTGGCTCCCTCTCCTGGGTTTGGATGAGGCAGGGAGGACCCACTTTAACCACCACTGTCAAGTCTTAACTTTCCTCTAGCTTTTTTTTGCCTGGAGGCTATTAGTAGAGGCCACCTGAAGAACCTTGGTTTCTGCATTGCCTGAAAAACTCCCTCAGGTGCTCAGTGTAAGAGGATTTCCCGAGGGTGGGGCAGAGGCTGGTTGTTAATGGGCCTCAATTAGCATTTCAATGGCCACCAGATGTGGTTGAATCTCTGAGGGAGGGGCCGCCACCTCTCCCCAGGGCCCTGGGAAGGAGTAAGATGACCACAGTCCTGTGTGGCTGCACTCAGCACAAGCTCTGAGCACCCTCCAAATCCCGAGTGTCCCCACACAGTTCCAGTCCAGTCTGCCTTCCCTCTGCCGGAGCCCAAGGTGAGTGGCTTCTGCCAATTTAGCCTCTGTCCAGACTCTAAGTTGTGGAGCCGCCTGGGACTTTTAACCCAATGGCGCTGCTCCCAGCTAAGGGCGGCCAAGTCTGCGGCACCAGCCGAGGGGTAGCACTTAGCCGAGTTTGCAGGACTTAGCCGCAGTCGAAGCTGAGGTAGCAGCAGCTTCCCACCGAGTCCCCTGGTCCCGGCCGAGTCTGTGCAGCACCTGCCCAGGGCTTAGCATGCAGCCAAGGCGGCAGCAGCTTCCATCTGAGTCCTCTGGTCCCAGCCGAGTTCGCTGGTCCCAGCCCAGGCCGCTGTGGACCGTGGGCTCCCGGCCCCCTTTCGCGTCCTCGCAAGCCTGCCAGGATTGAGTCAGTGTCCCTGGTTATGTAGTCCTCCAGGCTGCCTTTCAGTTGCTCCTTCCTGACGATTTGTCTTTATTTTCGTTGTAAATCCAGTTTGGTCCTGGGAGATGGTCTGTGTAGCTCCATTCACTCTGCCGCCGTTTTTTTTCTCTCCTGACAGTCTCTATTTTTGATTTGAGTTTTTGGGACCATTTATATTTAATGTAATTAATAAAATGGTTGGATTTATGACTACCATGTTTCAACTTGTCTATTTTTTTTCTGTTATTTTGCTTCCTTTATTCTCCTTTTCATGAATCCATCTGCTATGATATTATTCTGTTGGCTTTGAAAAAAGCAAGCTGTCATGTTGTGAGAGGGCCAGGTGGCTACGGCCTGAAGGCTTACTCTAGGAGCTCAGGGCAAAACCCTGTCATCAGTGATCAAGAAAACAGGGACAACTATAGTCCTACAATTGTAAGGAACTAAATTCTGCCCCAAACTAGTAAGAATGGAAAAGGACTTTTAAGTCTCAGATGAAACCTCAGCCCAGGCCAACTCCTCGATTTTAGCCTGGTAAGACTCTAAACAGAGGGTCCAGCTAACCCGTGCCTAAACTTTTGTTGTTTTAAGCTGCTAGGTTTGTGGTAGTTTGTTACACAACAATAAAAAATGAATATATTCAGCAATAGAATCCAAGTCCAGAAATTAAATAGTCTAAAAAAAGGTTAGTGGCAGAAAAATATTTGAAAAAAATAAAAACTAAAAAATTATCCAACTGGCCCTGGCTGGTTTGGCTCAATGGTTAGAGCGTTGGCCTGCGGTCCAGAGAGACCCGGGTACGGTTCCCACTAAGGGCATGTACCTCGGTTACAGTTTGTCCCCGGCCCTGGTTGGGTCGTGTGGGTGGCAACCACTCGACGTGTCCCTTTCACGTCGATGTTTCTCTCTCTCTCTCCCACACTCTATCTGAACAAAAAATGGAAAAAATGTCCTCGGGTGAGGGTAAAAAAAAAAATAAATAAATAAATAATAAAATAAAATGAGGCCATGAGGGTGGGCCGTAATCCAATCTTACTGGAGAGAACATCTGGAGACAGAGACACTGAAGATGAGTGTGTGCGGAGGAAAGGCTGAGTGAGGATGCAACAAGAAGGTGGCGCCCTGCAAGCCAGGGACAGAGGGCTCAGAAGAAACCAAACCTGTTGGCACACTGATCTTGAACTTCTAGGCTCCGTAAGTGTGAGAAAATAAATTTCTGTTGTTGAAGCCACCAGCCTATGCTATTTTGTTATGGAAACCTCAGTTTACTCATACAACAACTGAAAATCATACAGTATCTGGAATCCAGCCTTCAGACCTCTTAACAACCAGTAGAGCGATCTTAAGATGCATGTCACTCAGAGTTACTTGAGAACTCTGTTTGCCTCAAGAGATTTGGGCAGTCTTGGGGTGAACCCTCAGTTTCACAGTATACAATTCAATTTATTCTAATTTCTGAACTTATTTTCTCAGAGTCTCTATATCAGCTGGTGCACAGCATCTCGGGATCTTCACCACTGTCCACGAGAAATTAAATTAATTCATGATTTTGTGACTATACCAACTTTACTTAAGGCTCCAAGAGCCGTGAAAGGAAACTGCATCATGCACTGCACAGTCCTCTGCCTTCTATTTGTTTTTTCCTTTGACATTGAACTGGCTCTCCAAACCAACAACTATGTGATTATCACCACAACCTTTTGAAAATTAAAACTACTTCCCTTCCCCTTCCTGGGTCTATCTCCCTTCCTGAGTTCTCCTGCCAAAGAAAAAGTCACTCTGTTAGTCCATCCCTTTGCACAGAAATCTAGCATATAGCTCCCTTGTTTGAAACTCACCTGCCATCTCCTGACTGCTTATATGCAGAGCCGAGACCTTCCCCCAACACCTTCCCACACACACTGCCCACAACTGGAGCCCCATAAAGCACATTCAGCCCTAATTGGCATGGAAGCCTCTCTGTCCTCGATCTGGGTGCCTGGCCCAATGGTGTCGATTGCTATGCTTTTGTTGGCTTCCTTACTGTTTGTTCTCTGGGGCCAACCCTCTGCCCTCTTGACCAACCCTCCATTTTTCAATTATCTTCAACCCATCTCAGGGTGCCTGGCACAAAGTGAGCATTCAAGAGCTGTGTGATGAATAAATATATTAAGAAATTAAAAATGAATACCATATTCAGCAACTTCCAAGGGGTTTCATTGCTTAGAGAATGAAATCCAAAATGAAGACTGTTGTCAAGGGTCCTCTAGAATCTGTGCGCACCTATACTTTCCAACTTCTCCCTGGTCCCCTCCTCTCAGTTTCTCAGATTCACTCAGCACTTGTCAGAGACATGAAAAGCAGACCCCATGTCCTGGGGGCAAATGAGTAGCAGTGGGGTAGGCCCCTGACTTTACCTGTGTAACTGCTGCTGCTTTCAAAGACTTTTTCTATTTGGTTCTCTCTCCACCTGGAATGAAGAAGACTAACCGTGAGCCTTTAAGACCTTTACCAAAAATAATAATCCAAGGCAGTAGCCAGAAAAGAAACATTATCCAGTAAAATTCTCACTTAAGCAGAACATTTGTAGTTTTCCTCTTTAAAGGATAACTCACAAATGAAATGATGGGCATGATGAGGTCTACAAACCATGGTCTCCTCTAGTTAAAATTCTTCATGTGGGTCTTTCCTCTCCCACTTTCAACCTTGCAATCCTGTAGGACTTGCCCTACAAAGATTCTCAAATGTCATTTTCTTGGACAGATAAACACTATGACCTAGAAAAGGACAGTGATTTTCCCAGGGTCACCCAGCAACTAAGGGGAAAATCCAGGGCTAAATCCCCATCTTCTGGGTTTGTGAACATGCCGTTTACACAGCACCCCACCATGTCCAGTTTGTGGAAGGTGGGAATATAGAGGCACTTGTTCTAGACAACCTTCAACCCTGTCCTCTCCCACCTGATCCACAGAATCTGTGGTAACAGGCTTTAACTGAGCTTTAGTGACAGTCCTTATCCTTAGCACACTGTCCTGTGCTGAGGAGGTGGAAGGGGTGTGATGAGCTGCAGGCAGCATGGGAAGAAATGGAGGGTTCAGATTATAAATCTGCCTTCCTGAGAACTTGCCATGAGGGATGGATTATAGGAAGAGTGTTTAACTGTTTTTCTCAACTTCCCATAAGAACCATTTATACTATTATTTTGGGGAAATTTCATGTAAAATTACAAGCATATGCTTACCAGTGAAAACAAAATATGGCAAAAATGAAAACTACAGTAAGAATATCCAGGAAAAGCCACATGATCCTGTAGTAACTTGGCACCTGCAAAACAGAAAACCACAGTGCAAGAACTTTAGAGTTGGAAGGGATTTTATTTTTCAATTTTTATTAATTTTTGTTACAGATGTTTCTCCTCCCCACCCAGACACCCTCCCTCCACCCCCCCACCCCCCCCAGCATCGTTGTCTATGTCCATTGGTTATGCATACATGCATATAAGTTCTTTGGTTCATCTCATCCATCCCGCCCTCTCCTCTGAGGTTTGTCAATCTGAACCATACTCTTTTCTATGTCTCTGGGTCTAGTTTGTTCATCAGCTTATTTTGTTCATTACATTCCACAAACAAGTGAGATCATGTGGTATTTGCCGTTCTCTGATTGGCTTATTTCACTTAGCATAATGCTCTCCAGGTCCCTCTATGTTGTCTAAAAAAATAAGAGATCTTTCTTTCTTACAGCTGCATAGTGTTCCATTGTGTATATATATCACAGCTTTTTTTATCCACTCATCTATTGATGGACATATGGGCTGTTTCCAGATTTACAATTGTAAATAGTGCTGCTATGAACATAGGGGTGCATATATTCTTTCTGATTGGTATGGTCTGCTGCGAGGGCTGGGGAGGGAGTGGAGGGGCAGGCCAGGTGGAGGAAGCCTGTTTGATGTGGTGGTCTCAAACACAGAGAATACCTGCTGCTTTCCTAACAATCACCCCTTCCATGTGTCCGGGGCTCTGCAAGGGATAAAACTTCACACCCTTCATCTCCTTTGACTCTCAACACAGAGGCCTGAGGGAGTCCCAGAGAAGTCACATGGCAAGTCTGCGCTGGACCCAGGACTACAGCCCAAGTTCTTGAGCTCCAGTGCTCTGTGTTTTCACACCATGGCTTCCAGTGACCCAGGTTTCTGGGGCTCCCTACAGACCTCAGAAGTTAGAATTCTTGCATTTTTAACGGGCTCCCCAGATGATGCTGAAGTAACCAGTCAGTGAGCCTGCATTTACAAACCACTGTTCTATATCATGATGCTTCAAGTAGGCTGAAATTATAATTCTCCCTTACCTAACATGCCCCCTTCTCCACACTCCTCGCCTGAATCACACACATCCCAGAGCTCCATCTCCTGGGGCCTCTTGTGTGAATTTTCTAATTCCCCGGTTTGATCCTCCCTTTCCTCCTCCACTGTTCCCCTTACTTGATGCTACTGGGGCTGGCACTTTTTATTCTTTCTTAGGCCATTCTCCTCCCTATCCCAAGGTCTTTCCTTGGACTGAATAAAGATATTAATAAAAACACCAATGATCCTGATACTAATGAGAACAATGAACCATTAATGAGCATTTACAGGAGCTAAGGAAGTATTCTAAGCACTTGAAGGGTCTGTTCACATCTCGTCCTCTCAACAACCCTACTAGGCAGGTACAGTAGAAGCTCTCAACCACCTTCCACTAAACTGAGGCTGCTAATCCCCTCCGGGAGACATACTGATTGATGCTTTGGCCTGTTCCAGGATGCCCACCAGGTGAGCACCACCAAGCAACACCAAGAATAGGTTGTTCTTACTCCTCAAGTGGCTTAGAACAGTTGTTTTTATTGTTATAATTGTGCAGTGTAATGAAATGTTACTTAAAACTGTAAAATCTGAGTTTAAAAAAACTGTATGCTATGTGACTTTGCTGTTTCTCCCTTCATCCACCTTTAATCTGGACTTGGCCATGTGACTTGCTTTGGTCAATGGAACATTTCCAAGTTCACAGTAGGATCTGTGTGAGAGAAGGGAGAATGACACATCTCCAAAATCGCAGATGTCTCTGTTCTTAAGTAGCTCCCCAGGTGACTGTACAGTGAGCAAGGTACACATGGGGTACGGTACATGAACTCCTAGTATACAGACTTGGAAGAACAATCTGGACCATCAGCTCACCATGAAGTAGTAAGGGTAATCTATCTGCCTCAGAAGCTCAATGTTATCTGTGGTCACTGAGTGAATCCTGGAGCACCAGGCCAGTGAGAAGACCCAAGGCTTATTGACGATATACAAGTTGATGGTGATGTCAGCTGCTTTATAATCTCTGGAACACAAAAAAAAACCCACAGGAGATTTAGAGTTAATCTTACCTTCATCACCTAAAAGGGTAACAGCTACCAGGTTTGTGAAAGGCTGTGGCTTAAATCACCAGAAGCAGTTGGTCCTGAAACAACTTATGATATGACATGCAGAATGGGCTCATGTTGCAATGAGATAAAGGGATGGATTTAATATCTCTACTCCCATACCAACAGTGGTATGGTATAGCATATTGGAAACAGCTCTCTACAGCCTGGGTATGAATCTCACCTCTGTCATATATCAGCCTGGCAAGTTCTTAGACTCATTGTGTCAACTGTAAAATAAAAACAATAATACCACCTTTGCAGGAGTGTTGTCAGTTAATTACATAATATGTGTCTAAGACAATTCTACAGATCACCTAAAGATAAATTTTTTTAAATAGAAGAAAACAGTACTAAAAACTTACCTTTAATTTACTTTTTTTGACACCAACACACAAAAACCAATCACATTTTTATTTGGTAGTAATGAACACATAGAAATTAATATTAGCAATCACTCCAAAGAAAATTAAATAGTTATCTTAACAAAGTAAGTATAGGATCTATACACTGAAAACAACAAAATATTGATGAAAGTAATCAAAGAAGATTTAAATAGAGACATATATGTTCATGGATTGGAAGACTCAACATCATAAAGATGACAATTCTCCTCAAACTGATCCATAGGCTTAATGTAATTCTTATAAAAATCCCAGGAAGTTTTTTTGTACAATTAGGCCACCTGATTCTAAAATTTATATAGAAAAACACAACTCCCAAATAACTAAAACAATATTGAAAAAGAAGATAATGAATTGTGGATCACTTTACCCAATATTAACGGTTACTATAGAGCTACAGTAATCAAGACGGTATGGTATTTGCGAAGAGTCAGACATATAGTCCAGGAGCATAATTTAATACCCAGAAATAGACCCACACAAATATTCCCAAATGAGTTTTTATAAAGATGCAAAAATAATTAAACAGAAAATGGAATAAAGAGAGTTTTTGCAACAAATGGTACTGAAGCAATTGGACAGGCACAGGCAAAAAAAGAACCTTGACCTACATAACACAATTTACATAAAAATTAACTCAAAATGGATCACAGACTTAAATAATATATTTTTTCAGTAAAAATAGAAAATCTCTGATATCTAAGGGCTAGACAGAGTTCTCAGACTTGACTTTTTTGTTGTTGTTGCAATTTTTATTAATTTATTTTTGTTACAGATGTTTCTCCTTTTTCCCCCATTGACACCCTCCTCCCAATCCTGCATCCCTCCACCCTGCCCTGCCCCAGCATTGTTGTCTATGTCCCTTAGTTACGCTTACATGCATATAAGTTCTTTGGTTTATCTCATCCACCCTCCACCCCCCTCTTCTGAAGATTGTCAGTCTGAACTGTACTCCTTTCTATGTCTCTCAGTCTATTTTGTTCATCAGCTTATTTTGTTCGTTTTATTCCACAAATAAGTGCGATCATGTGGTATTTGTCTTTCTCTAATTTGCTTATTTCGCTTAGCATAATGCTCTTCAGATCCCTCCATGTTGTCTCAAAGGATAAGAGATCTCTCTTTCTTACAGCTGCATAGTATTCCATTGTGTATATTGGTGTTTCAGGCTTCTTAGGGTATATGCCCAGAAATGGGATCACTGGGTCAAATGACAGTTCAATTTTTAATTTTTTGAGGAAACACCATACTGTTTTCCATAGTGGCTGTACCAGTCTGCATTCCACCAGCAGTATACTAGAGTCCTCTTTTCTCCACACCCTCACCAGCACTTCTTTGATGATTTATTGATGGCAGCCATTTTGGCAGGTGTGGGGTGAAACCTTATAGTTGTTTTAATTTGCATCTCTCTGATGATTAGTGACGTTGAACATTTATTCATAATGGCCATTTGAATGTCCTTTTTGGAGAGGTGTCTATTTAGATCCTCTGCCCATTTGTTAATTGGGGTCTTTGTCTTCCTTTTATTGAGTTGTATGAGCACTCTATACATTTTGGAAATTAACCCCTTATCTGATATATCATTGGTAATTATGCTCTCCTACATAGTGGCTTCACTTTCCATTCTGATGGATGTTTCTTTTGCTGTGCAAAAGCTTTTTAGTTTGATGTAGTCCCATATATTAATATTTTCCTTTGTTTCTCTTGTCTTAGGCATTGTATCAGTGAAAATTCTGCTGCATGTAATGTGTGAAACTAGATCATCAACTTACATCATACACAAGACTAAACTCAGAATGGATAAAAGACTTAAACATCCTAGAAGAAAATGTAGGCAACAAAATTTCAGACATCATATGCAGCAGAATTTTCACTGATACATCATCTATGGCAACAGAAACAAAGGAAAAAATGAACACATGGGACTACATCAAACTCAAAAGCTTCTGCACAGCAAAAGAAACAAACATTAAAATGGAAAGGAAACCCACTCTATGGGAGAGCATAATAGCCAATGATATATCAGATAACGGGTTAATTTCCAAAATATATAGAGTGCTTATTCAACTGAACAAAAGGAAGACAAAGAACCCAATTAAAAAATGAGCAGAGGAACTAAACAGACACCTCTCCAAAAAGGACATACAAATGTCCAAGAGACATATGAAGAAGTGCTCAACATCACTAATCATCAGAGAGATGCAAATTAAAACAACTATGAGGTACCACCTAAACCTGTCAGAATGGCTGCCATTAACAAATCATTAAACAACAAGTGCTGGCGAGGGTGTGGAGAAAAGAGGATTGTAGGACACTGCTGGTGGGAATGCAGACTGGTGCAGCCACTATGGAAAACAGTATGGTGTTTCCTCAAAAAATTAAAAATTGAATTGTCATTTGACCCAGTAATCCCACTTCTAGGAATATACTCTAAGAAGCCTGAAACACCAATCAGAAAGAATATATGTACCCCTATATTCATAGCAGCACTATTTACAATAGCTAATATCTGGAAACAGCCCAAGTGTCCATCAATAGATGAGTGGATAAAAAAGCTGTGGTACAGCTCTGGCCGGTTTGGCTCAGCGGTTGGTGCGTCGGCCTGCGGTACAGAGAGACCCGGGTTCGGTTCCCGCTAAGGGCACGTACCTCGGTTGCAGTTTGTCCCCGGCCCTGGTTGGTCGTGCAGGTGGCAGCCACTCGATGTGTCCCTTTCACATCGATGTTTCTCTCTCTCTCTCTCCCTCCTGCTCTATCTGAACAAAAAATAGAAAAATGTCCTCGGGTGAGGATAAAAAAAAAAAAAAAAAAAAAAAAAAAAAAAAGCTGTGGTACATATATACAATAGAATACTATGCAGCTGTAAGAAAGAAAGATCTCGTTCCTTTGAAACAACATGGAGAAACCTCAAAAGTATTATGCTAAGCTAAATAAGCCAATCAGGGAAAGACAAATACTAAATGACCTCGCTTATTTGTGGAATATAATGAACAAGGTAGGCTGATGAACAAAATAGACCCAGGGACATAGAAAGGAGTATGGTTCAGACTGAAAAACCTCAGAGGAGGGGGGCGAGGGGCATGGATGAGATGAACCAAATAACTTATAGGCATGTAAGTGTAATCAATGGACATAGACAACAATGCTGGGGCGGGGGGGGGGGGGGCGAGATGGAGAGGAGGATGTCAATGGGGAAAAAAGGAGAAACATCTGTAACAAAAATGAATTAATAAAAATTGGGGGAAAAAAATCACAAACATACAAAGAAACAAGAAGGTAAGGTCCATTCAAAGGGGAAAAATCAACTGAAACTGTCCCTAAAAAAAGAGTTGATGGCAAATATATTAGACAATGACTTTAAAATAACCATCTTAAAGATTATGTGCCCACATATTCAAAGTTAGAAAAAACTGCCAACCAAGAATCTTATATGTAGCAAAACTGTTTTTCAAAACTGAGGGGGAAAATTGATAAATTCATAGATAGACCAAAGCTGAGGGAGTTCGTGGACAGTAGATCTGCCCTAGAAGAAAAGATCAAGGAAGTCCTGCAAGGTGAAATGAACAAGACACTAAATAGTAACTCAAAACTGTGTGGAGAATTCAAGATTTCAACAGAAATACATACATGGACAATTATAATCTCTAGTTTTGTTGTAACAATGGTTTGTATAAGTGCTCTTTCTTTTGTATGGGATTTAAGAGATTAACATGTATAAAGAAAAAACAATTATTAGTCTAAAAGGTAGTATTATCATATCTTTGGTTTGTAACTCCATGTTACTTTCTACATAATTTAAAAAACTAATGAATTTAAAAAGGATTAGTTTAACTCTGGTCCCTGCTCGGCCACTTTATCAACACTAATCCTGCTGCTGCCACCACTGCCGCTAACATGTCTACAGGTGTGGCTGCATGTCCAAGTGCTGCCTCTGGCAGTAATCGAAGGCTTCAGCAGACACAGAATCAAGTGGATGAGGTGGTGGAAGTCATGAGAGTCAATGTGGATAAGGGTGTTGAAAAGAGATGAGAAGCTCTCTGAGTTAGATGACCGTGCAGACACACTGCAGGCAGCAGCTTCCCAATGTGAAATAAGTGCTGCTAAGTTGAAGAGAAATATTGGTGGCAGAAATGCAAAGTGTGGGTCATAGGGATTAATGTTGTGGTTACAGTCATCATCATCATCATCATCATCGTCGTCATCTTGTGGAGTGTGTCTTCATGAAGAACCAGTGAAACTCCAGCCTGCTGTTCCAGAAACCCCTTCCAGACTTTGACTTAGAACCTGCTATTTTATTAAGCTTACATACTGTTAATATCTAAAATGATTATTTTCTGCTAGTTAGTGTAAAGTTTGATTTTTTGGAAATGTGTCCTTTTTTTAACATTCACTCCAAACTAGTAGTGTAGTCAGCCCAGCCCACATTTTGCACAATGCCTTTACAAATTTACACATGGGCTGATGAAGAGGACTTGTTAAGTTCCAGAGTGTTATAACCTAGAAGTAACATTGTCTGA